CCCCGGATTGTCACCTGCCGCCAATGCCACCCCCCGGCAACGTCACCCCCAGGCACGGCCACCCCTAGGCCAGGTCACCCTCCGGCAGCGGCCGCATCCCCAGTCTCCTCCCTGGGCCACCATGTCCGGTGCCACCGGGCTGGTGCGAGGCCAGGCAGGGTGTGACCCGCGTCCCCGCGCCCAGGGAAGCCCTTCGTGCCCAAGAACCCGACGCGGGAGATCCCGCGGGAGGAGCAGATCACGCTGGAGCCCGAGCTGGAGGAGGCGCTGGCCAACGCCACCGAGGCCGAGATGTGCGACATCGCCGGTGGGTCTCGCACGGGGCTGCCACGTCGCACCGCAGCCTTGCACGGGGCTGCCGCATTGCACCGCAACTTCGCATGGGGCTGCCACATTGCACTGCAACCTCGCACGAGGCTGCCATGTTGCGCCACAACCTCGCACGGGGCTGCCATGTTGCGCCACAACTTTGCACGGGGCTGCTGCATCGTGCCACAGCCTCACCCAGGGCTGCCTTGTTGCACCACAGCCTCACACGAGGCTGCCACTTGGCATGACAACCGTGCACAAGGCCACCGCATCACACCGCAGCCTCACATGGGGCTGTCACGTTGCACAGCAGCCCTGCACGGGGCAGCCGTGTCACACCACAACCTTGCACGGGGCTGCCGCATTTGCTGCAGCCTCACCCGGGGCTGCCTCGTTGCACCACGGCCTCACACAAGGCTGCCGCGTCGCAGCGCAGCCTCGCGCGGGGCTGCTGCATTGCGCGACAACCTTGCACGGGGCAGCCACCTCACACCGCAGCCTTGCACGAGGCCGCCCTGTTGCACCACAGCCTCGCACGGGGGTAGCATGTCCCACAGCAGCTTCACGTGGGGGCAGCTTGTGGCACCGCAGCATCGCACTGCAGCATCGCACAGCGGGGAGCACGTCGCACGGCAGGGAGCACGTTGCACGGTGATAGCGTGTTACACAAGGACAGTTTGTTGCACGGGGGGAAACGTTGCACGGGGCCAACGTGTTGCAAACCTGCCTCGGCCTCGTGTCGCACCCGTGCTCGCTGCTGCCAGGCGTGTACCGAGCCCCCCCGCCCCCCTGGGTCCCCGCCAGGGCCCGGCTAAAAGCAGCACCGTGCCCCGCGCTCGGCTTTCACCGCTGGCCCCCGGCCCACCCGCTCCCTGCAGCTCTCCTGGCCCCCCCGCGCAGGGCTGGGGGGCGGCGGCCACCCGGGGGGACAGGAGGGGAGCGGGGGGTCCCGGGGCCCCCGCTGACCCCCACCCCGCTCCCGCAGCCATCCTGGGCATGTACACGCTGATGAGCAACAAGCAGTACTACGACGCGATCTGCAGCGGGACCATCACCAACACGGAGGGCATCAACAGTGAGTGCCCCGGGGACACGGGGACGCGGGGCCCACGTGGCTGCTCGGGGGGGACTCGGGGACCAGAACCCCTCGGGGATTCCCCACGGTGACCCCACAGACGCGTGCAAACGCGCACGTCCCCGCGTGTCCGTGCCCCCGTGCGCAGTCACGTCTCCCCCCGTGCACACGCGTGTGCCGCAGGTGTGGTGAAGCCCGACACGTACAAGCCGGTGCCGGATGAGCCCCCGAATCCCACCAACGTGGAGGAGACGCTGCGGCAGATCCAGGCCAACGACGGGGCTCTGGAGGACGTCAACCTCAACAACATCAAGGTGAGGGACCTGGTGGCAGCGTCCCCAGGGTGCCAGTCCCAGTCCTGGGGTGTCCCCATGGGGCTGGTCCCTATCCCAAGGTGGCCCCAGGGTGTCCCTGGGTGCTGCTCCCTGCCCGGGATGGTGCCAGGGTGATGGGTCCCACCCTGGGGTGTCCCCACGACGCCTGGTCACCCTGTCCCAGGGTGCTGCTCGCTGTCCCGGGGTGTCCCCGTGGGGTTGGTCCCCGTCTTGGGGCATCCCTGGGGTGCTTTTCCCCATCCTGGAGTGGCTCCAGGGCACCCCAAGGTGCTGGTCCTCAGCCAGGGGCATCTGTGTCCCCTTGGTGCCATCCCACGTCCCCTTGGTGCCATCCCAAGTCCCCTTGGTGCCACTTACATCCCTCGGGTGACATCAGCACCCTCCCAGGGATGGCACCATACCCTTGGAGACATCTACACCCCCTCGATGCCACTTACAGCCCCTTGATGGCACCCACTTCCCCTCAGGGACGTCCCCATCCCCTCGGTGACACCCCCGTCCCCATGGGGATGTCCCCGTCCCCTCGGTGACACCCCGGACCCCTTGCCGCAGGACATTCCCATCTCCACGCTGAAGGCCATCTGCGAGGCCATGAAAACCAACACCCACGTCAAGAAGCTCAGCCTGGTAGCCACCCGCAGCAACGACCCCGTGGCCAGCGTGAGTCCCGGCACCGTGTCCCCCGTGTCCCCACGCGTCCCCAGACAGGGAGGGGATGCGGTCCCCTGCCCCCGGCTCCATCCTGGGCACCAGCAAGCCCAGGGGACGGTGGCTTTTCCACCATCACCTAAGGCATCGGTGGCCCAGGGTGTGCCAGAGGGGGGTGCCAGCCCCGGGTGACACCCTGAGGTGACACCCTGAGGTGACACGCAGGCCGTGGCCGAGATGCTGATGGAGAACAAGACCCTGCAGAGCCTCAACATCGAATCCAACTTCATCACCAGCGCCGGCATGATGAGCATCATCAAGGCCATGTACCACAACACCACTCTGAGCGAGCTCAAGGTGGACAACCAGGTAGGGATGGGCACCCAGGGGTGGCCCGGGGAGGGGACAGGGGTGTCCCCAACTTCCCGGCCTGCCTGGTTTCACCCCGGCCCCGCAGTGCCAGCGGCTGGGTGACACGGTGGAGATGGAGATGGCCACCATGCTGGAGCAGTGCCCCTCCGTCGTGCGCTTCGGCTACCACTTCACGCAGCAAGGCCCCCGCGCCCGCGCCGCCATCGCCATCACCAAAAACAATGAGCTCCGTGAGTGTCCCCCGCGCCCCCTCCCGGGGCAGGAATCGGGGCGCAGGCCCGGCCCTGACACCGCCGTCTTTCTCCTACCCCAGGTCGCAAGCAGAAGAAAACCTAACGGCCCCCCCGGCACGAACGAGCTCCGGCTCCTGCTCCCTGGGGCTGCTGTAAATAAAGACGACGGAGAGACGCGGCTTTGGGATCCGCTCGGACACGTCCCGGGGCAGGATTTGCGCGCGGGGGCCGGGATGGGGATCGTAGGGATGGGCCGAGGGAGGGTAACGCTGCTGGGGAGGTGGCAGGGGCTCGAGGCCCCGTTAGCCGCCCCGTTAATCCGCGGGGGCCGAGCCGGACGCCTGGATCCCCTCGGGGAGCAGCGGGGTGGGGGTATTTATGCCTGGGGGATTGGGTTACGGCACCAGGAGGGGTGGGGGGAGCAGGGCAACCCCCCATCCGGCAGTCTGGCC